GCTTAGGTGGCTTCAACTTTATTTGGTGAGGCATTAGAATGACAGAATGAGTAAGATGAGCAATTACACTTAACTATATTCAAAAACTACTTATCTGTATGCCTGGGTTTCACCATCTGTGAAATAAGGGCAGAACTCTGTGCAGGTCCTTTGATGAATTATAACAGACTTAGTGATAAAGAAAAACAATACTACTCATAGTTGGAAGACAGTGGAATTTAAGGAAGGAGGGCTGCATGTGTTGGTAACCTTCTGTTACTGGAATTAGGACCAGAGCCTGTGTATTGGCTACCCTAACAACCAGGCTCAGTTACTCATCCTCAGTAAGCCAAAAAGAACCAAGTTATCCAGTTGTGACCTGCCCACCTATATAATATAGGCACACTGGAGGCAAGGTGGGCAGATCTCTCTGATGTCCTAGGATAGTGTAGTAAGACTATTCTTAAAAGAAAAAGAAAAGAAAAAAGCAAATTATTAATGAAAACTGAAGACATGATATTTATTCAGTGTGACCAATTTGGAACAGTGATAAAAATAAAAGATAGAATGCAAAAGATATGCAAAACTAAGTAATCTAATGAAGCCATATAATGAAAATTTTCCATCCCCAAAACACTTCCCCATTCTCAACTCTAGTTTCTCCTGCATGGTGGTCAGATAAGGAATAAATATTTCTTCAGTAGAGACATTCTCATCTGGGGTACTCAGTCCTTTTCCACAATGAGACTTCTAGGTAAATTAGAATTTTATGGGGTCTACTGTTTCATTAATTGTTAGCAAAAGGGAGAGATAGAATATCTTTCTTCCTTGCAGGAAGGTAGGTGACAGGGATGACAGGGTGAAGACTGAGGAGCTTTAAGGTTCAAGTGGGTACTGCAAGTGGGGGCCTTCAGGGTATTGTCACTGACATGTAGTTGCCAAAAAAAGGAAAGAGTTGAAGATGTGGTTGGGGCTGACCCTCCATAGCAGAGTGGAAACAGACAGCCCAGCAGGAGCCAGCTTGTCCTTGGGTACACCCTGAGCATTGCCTGCTGGCCATTTGATCCCCAGGCTTTCATACCCAAAGCTGCCTGATTGCCCCAGCCTTAGAATGACTTCTGTTTAAGTCTCAGGACCTCCTGATAACCTTGATGTCATCTGAAGTCACCATTACTCGGAGATCTTATATGAAGGTTTTACAGGCATCAGACAAGTCAGTCTTCATGCCTGCATGTTCCTTTTCTATGCTGGAGGCATAATCTCCAGTAGGGGTACTCCTGACATGTGTACTTTTGGGACTCCCATTGCTGCCTATTTATCACACGGGAGATAAACTCAAGTCTTGTGGGTTTGATTAAGCATTCATCCACTTTTTAAAGACTTGTGTTTGTTTCTCTCCTGGTCATTTTTGTACTCTTCCCTCATTTTGTGGAGATTTGGGCTCAGAAACTTCTTTAAGCACCATGTCTGAGTTTCTGATGCTATAAGTCTTGTATTTCTTCTGGATCATCAGGACTGAGATAAAGATGAACTCAGGATCATGCATTCACACCTTATTGCTATAATGACATGTTGATGGGGCCAAATATATGGCTCAGCAGCTAAGAGCACTGGCTGCACATTCACAGGCTTAACTTTGATTCCCAGTACCCAAAAGACAGCTCACAACTGTCTATAATTATAGTCATGGAGGACCAGAAATCCTCTTTGGGCATCCACTGGTACTTGACATGCATTTGGTATACACATTGGCAAAAATTATACACATAATTTAAACTTTTTTTTGTAAAATAACATACATAAAGAAAACTTTTTTTAAAATATGGAATCTTGTACATGTCTTTTCACTATTTGTACATCTAAGCCCTAGGAGGCCAGAGAATGCATCAGATCTTCTGGACCTGTAAATGTGGGTACTTCTGAACCATCTGAAGTGGGTGCTATGAACCAAACTTGGGTACCCAAGAGAAGCAGTACTACTGAGCAAACTCTCCAGCTCCCATATATGTCATAATGCAGATGAAAATGTCCCATTACTCCTTTTGTCTCCTGTCACTTGAAGATGGGAAAAGGCCCCATTAGATTACTTTCAAAGGACTCAATGGATTTCTAGCTCTCTGTGAATTGACTCTACACATTGCTTCTCATTTTCATTGTTAACACAATTCTCTTAACGTAAATAATAACAAAAGGTTCTTTTGAAATCAGTCAGAGTTCCATAATTTGAGATGTGCTTTTTCTTTTGGGATTTTTTTTGAGACAGGCTATCACTACATAGCTATGGCTGTCCTGGAACTCACAATGTGAATCAAGCTGACCTCAAATTCAAACACATCAGCCTGCCAGTCTCTCCCAAGATCTGGGATTATAGGCATGTACCTGTAAACTCAGCTGAGATGTTTTAAAATTGACCTATCCTTGAATCAGAGAATTAAATGATAAAATAAGATTTAAAAAGGAGCCATCAATGTTTTGATGAACAGTAATACTTCTTGAAATTCTATAATAATTTAAACTGGCAGATGATTTCATATGTTCTCAAAAATTGGTCTATTTTCTTTGTTAATTTAATCCATTCAAATATGTTTGAACTATGTTTGCATGTATATACCTGTGCCATGATGTGTATGTGGCAGAAGCAGGACAAATTACAGATGTCTATTATCTACTTTCCCTATGTGAGTTCTAGAGATAAAACCAGGGAGTCAAGTTAGGCTGCAAGTGACCTCAATTTCACTTATTTGGGTTTAAAATTTATTTGTGTATGTGCTAGTATGGAAGTGTGCATACACAACAGCCCAAGTGGAGAAATAAGATAAATTTTGTAGGAATAATATGGGTCTCCTAGAGATTAAACTCAGGCAATCAGGTTTAGTAGCAACCAACTTTACCCACTGAGACAATTCTCTGGCATTCACTTGTGAGTCTGAGAAAGTGTTATGAGCAAGTGTTTAGTGCCTCAAATAAACTAATACATTCCAAAAAAAAGGGAAAAGAAATATACAGAAGTATTATCATTATCACTTGCAAATCAGATTTATTATTCAAACCGTCCTGTTTTATTCCATCCTTGGATAAAGATATGTTTACAATCTGAAAAGATAATATTTTACTGATGTAATGTTACAACTAATTTTATTTGAGCATCACTGAGACAGCTCAATGGGAAATGTCTGGTAGGCAAGGATGGTAACCTCATCTTGATCACCATATGAAGATGACCAGAAGTAGACCCCACAAAATTATCTTCCAGTCTCCACATATCTGTCATGGCCTAATAACACACACACACACACACACACACACACACACACACACACACACACACACACACACACACACGCAACAGAAATATTTTTTGTTTTTTATTTATTCTGTGTCTTTCACATCATGTATCTCAATCCCATTTAACTACCCATTCCTTTGTATCTACACTTTGCCTTTGCAACCTGCCCCACAAAATAAAATTTAAGAGAAAAAAATGAAAACAAAGAAAAATCTTTTCATGGAACCTGTAGTGTGACAACAGTGAGTCACATAATTTACCCTTTTATCCATATATCTTTACTTGCAAGTGTTCATTGAAGAGACACCTCCGGTTTCTGCTACACTACCGATACTGGGCCCTCACTGGGACTCCTCTTGGATATCCTGTTGTTGACCTGTGTCATGGAGATCCTGCAGCTTTGGGTCTGAAGGACTGACCCCTTCATGTACTCCAGGAGATAAAAAACGGTGGACTTTGGGGTGTGCTAACTCATAACCCTAGTTCTGAGTTTGAGTAGTTGCAGGGTTGGTCAGCCTAACAGCTCTCCCTCATCCTCAAGACCACAGTGAGCTCTCTGTCATTGTCCTGGTCAGCTCATCCCTTGCAGGAATGGGCAAGGGGTGTGGCCAGTCCACCTGCTTTCATGCCTCAGGGTCAGCACTCCCACAACTACACCAGCAGGGTCAGCTTTACTGTGTTGCCCAGGCAAGGTACAGGGGCCACTGTTCCAAGTGCTGCAAATGGTGATGGGAAGGGATAACTCTTCCATTTTCTTGACTTCAGGACAAGTTCTCCCACCTACCACAGGTATCAAGGGGCATCTCTTCCCTGCCCACATTACCATATTGCAGACCACAGATGGGACCCAATCTCCTAAGCACACATTCTTGGGGTTGGTTTATTCTCACCCATGTCAATAGGCTCAGCTATACTGTAATGCCAAGGTGAGGTGCAGGACCTGCTTTTCCAAGTGCTGCAGCTAGTAGGGGGAGAGTCCCAGATCCCTCACCCACCACAGGTGCCAGCATGAGTGGGGGATGGCATCTTTCTTTTGCCCTCCCTACTACATGTCAGATGTGGGTGGCATGGCCAACTATCCCACTCTCAGGTCCAGCTCACCCACATCTCCACCAATAGTTTCAGCTCCACTGTGCTGCCCAGGAGAGAAGCAGGGCACAATTTCCTGAGTGTCACAGCTGGTGAGGAGGAGGGGGTCAGCTCTGTCTGCCAAAGACAGCATGGGGTGAGGGGGAAGGGGGGCATCTCTCCAAGCATGCCATGGCATGAGAGATGAATAGTGGGGCCAGCTCTCCCATCCTTACAACTTTGGGACTGGCTCACCTGCACTCCCAACAACAGGGTTGGCTCTATTGTGCTGCCCAGGTGAGGTGCAGGACTTGCAGTGCTATAGCTGGTGAGGGGCAGAAGCAGCTCTCCTCTTAGAACTTCAGGGCAGGCTCTCCCAACCACCACAGGCCACGATGGGTGGCAGGGGTGGGTAGCAAAATGGTTTTTAAAAAAATAAATCTCATTACCATTACATTATCTGGCATCTCTGGATAATTTCCTTAGAAGGCAGTACTTCAAGATGAAGTGCCAAATAGACAACTAACAGGGACATAAAAATGCATGGAATGTCAAATGATATATACATATCCATAGCACATCAAGCTATGTTGTGAAATATACAATTGATTGCTGATTATCCTACATTATTACATCTCTACCAGACAGATAAAAATGCTGCTTTGGATACACATATGAGGTATTTAATGTTTCTTATATTCTCTTCTATTAAGCATTTTAACAAAAAACATGTTGACAAAATAGCAAACATTGGTGGTACATCATCTATGCTTGGACTTGTACTCAGGAGGCTGACACATACTGTCATGAGTTCAAATGTATCCCCTGACTAATTACTGACATACAAGTCATACTGGATAACAAACATTTCAAAGGAATTTGTAAATATGAAAAACAAAGCTAGGAGTAACAACCCACCACCCTCTTACAGTCACACTGCCTGATATTTAATAAAAAATGGACCACTTAGATGATGGGTATGTCATTCTATACATTACAGCTGGAAAATACCTATCACTAAATAAAAGCACAATAGAAGATAAACAAAAGCCACAGGTGGATTATAGAAACCATAATACATACTTCAGTAAATGGATTTGCCACACATATATCATGCTTAATATCTAGCTCAAATGTTACAAAATATAAAACACAATACAGTGGTCTCCACCATCAGTCTTGAGTGAACATGGCAAATAATTTACTCCCTTTAAGACTATGATGAAAAAGAGAAGATAAAAGATTTTTTTCTTGAAACTAAAGACAATTGTGATGTATAAACTCTTTAACAAATCATTTACATGAACAGAGTTTTTCTTCCCTATCTCCTGATATAAAGATGATTTTAAAAGGCCTTAAAGTATTTACAGGGATAGAGACAGAGCCAAGAAGTTATGACAAGTTTAATCCAAGGACCAAGGTCAGGTTTTGGACAACATCCTGTAATTCCTGCTACAAGAAAATCCAATGGTCTAAACCTACTTGGGAACCAGCATGCACATGCCCATATACACACAAAGACACACTGACATCACATAATTAAAATTAAAACAAATAAGCAAGTAGGAATGAAATCAGAAAAATCAATCCTTCTTAGTTGGTGGTATCATTTGGGAAGATTTAGGAAATGCTACCCTGCTGGAAGAAATATCAGTGGGGGTTGGATCTGAGAGTTTACACCCACACATCATTTTCAGTTCCTCCTGTGTGTTTCATGCTGCAGATTGAAGATGTAAGTTCTTAGCTTCCTGCTTTAGCTGCCATATCTGGTACTTGTTGCATTGCCACTTTCATGGTGATCATTTATCCCTCTGCAACCAAGGGCCAACTCTTTCATAGGGTGACTTAGACATTATGTTTTATCCCAGCAACAGAAAAGGCACTATTATACATCCATAAAGTTTTACACATGAATGAGTTATTTCACGTAATTGAAGTGTGAAATCTAAAGGGTTACCTTATCATTTAAGTTCACAGGGCTTTTGTCCACATAAGTTTGCAGGTACAAACAAAATAAAGAGAGACATCATAATGCTTGAACATATTGTTGACAATTGTCAGATTTTTTTTCTCCACAATAAATAATCTTCTGTAATTGAATGTAAGTGTGCTGGCTACATATCTTAACAAATCCTTTATAGTCAGAGTACCTTAGTACGAAGTCTTTCAGCTTCTCAAAGATTATTGTGATATGCAAAGTCTTTAACAGACCAATTAAACACTAAAAGTTTTACTCTTGTATAGACTACCATGAAGTACAAAACTGCCACACTCACTACATTTATAGTTTTTCTGTGATGATTGTTTCTCATGATTTCAAAGGCTGTAGATATATGCAAAGACTTTATCATATTTATTACATTTGTATGGTTTCTCTTCAGTATGTGTTCTTTTATGTCTCTGGAGACTGCTAAGATGTGCAAAGGCTTTATCACATTGAGTACATTCATAAGGTTTCTCTCCAGTATGTCTTCTTTTATGTATTCTGAGACTACTCTGACATGCAAAGGCTTTACCACATTGATTACATTCATAAGGTTTCTCTCCAGTATGTGTTCTTTCATGTATTTGGAGATAACTGTGATGTGCAAATGTTTTACCACATTGATTGCATTCATAAGGCTTCTCTCCAGTATGTATTCTTTTATGCCTTTGAAGATGATTGTGACGTCCAAAGGCTTTATCACACTGATTACATTCATAAGGTTTTTCTCCAGTATGCGTTGTTTTATGCATTTGAAGATGACCATGACATGCAAAGGCTTTGCCACATTCATTACATTTGTAGGGTTTCTCTCCAGTATGTGTTCTTTTATGTATTTGGAGATAACTGTGCCGGGAAAAGCCTTTACCACATTGATGACATTTATGGGGTTTCTCTCCAGTATGTGTTGTTTTATGTATTTGAAGATGAGTGTGACAAGCAAAGGCTTTACAACATTGATCGCATTTGTAAGGTTTCTCCCCAGTATGTATTCTTTTATGCATCCTGAGAGTACTATGACACGCAAAGGCTTTACCACACTGATTACACTCATAATTCTCTCCTGTATGTGTTATTTTATGCATCTGAAGATGACTATAACATGCAAAGGCTTCACCACATTGATTACATTTGTAAGGTTTCTCTCCAATATGTGTTCTTTTATGTATTTGGAGATAACTGTGCCGGGAAAAGGCTTTGCCACATTGATTACATTCATGGGGTTTCTCTCCAGTATGTGTTGTTTTATGCCTTTGAAGATGACTATGACGTGCAAATGCTTTGCTACATTGATTACATTTGTAAGGTTTCTCTCCAGTATGTATTCTTTTATGTTTTTGGAGATAACTGTGTTGTGCAAAGGCTTTGCCACATTGACTACAATCAAAGGGTTTCTCTCCAGTGTGTGTTCTTTTATGTATTTCAAGATGACCATGACTTCCAAAGGCTTTACCACACTGATTACATTCATAGTGTTCCTCTCCAGTATGACTTCTTTCATGCCTGTGAAGATAAGTGGCATATGTAAAAGCTTTAATACATTACACAGTTGAATCTTCATATCTCTATAAATTAATTTTACAATTTGGTCTAGTTTTAGAGATCAATCAGATATTAAGGTTTATACTTTTCGTGTTCCATTTCAGTAAGGGCTGTTTTGTGTCTTTGAAGATACCCGTGATAGTAAGAGCTGTTTTTACATGGCCCACATTCATACCATCTTTTTTCTATATGAGATTTTTCACATATTTGAAAAGAACTGGAAAAACCCAGAGCTTGACCATACTTATTGCATTCATAAATTTTCCTATAGTGTGAGTCATACAACATTTGCAAAGTGAATCATGACAGACATATTCATATATCCCAATACTCATAGAGACTTTCTGCAGTATGAGGTGGTTGATGTATTCCCAATAAAGTTGGAAAACCAATTAATTGTAAACTTGTAAATTCTAAATTGTATCACATTTAACAAGTCTACTCAAAGTGGGCACTGCTACATATCTTCTAATTGTTCTGGGAGACAGGGAGGAAAACTTCTTTCCATAACCCTATGTGTACATGGCTTCTATTCAGAGTGACATATGGGAAATCTATTAAAGAAAAGGTTTCCACACTGTATATACAGTTTGACTTTCTGTGGTACAGGGATTAAGTTTTCTCCACAACAGCCTTCTTGACTCTCATAAACTGCCCCTCTGAATAAACTTAGTAAAGTAACAAGTACATGAGTAACACTAGCCTTACTAAGGAAGATTGTTTATTAGAAGGTTTGAGACATATACTTATGACCTACTCAATGTCTATACCTTTTGCAATATCTGAGTATTATGAAACTAAATGGATTGGCAGTTCTACAGTATAGTTCTCATGGGACTATGATTCAAATGGTGATATCAGTTAAGGCATTGTTTCCTTTTCTTCTTTCTTAGAGGAATGTCTTGCAAACACAGATCAGCTACCTGACATGGAGGTATATGGTTTTGTGAGAATTTAATAATCATCAATACACTTTAAGCTGTGTTTATTTATACTGTTGCTTTTCTTTAAAACTTGCAGGACACATTAAATTTTCTTCAGAGGCACATTTGCATCATGCTTGTACATGAAAATTACCTTTCATGTCTTCTAGAACTTTGACAACCTTCTCCAATATTACAGTCTTCCCAACTGCAGCCTAAAATAATGTATGAGAAAACGTATGATATATTATTGGAAATTGTGCAATATTTAAGTCACGATCTCCAGTGAACCTTAAAACCATACCTGATTTATTCACCTCATACTTCCATTTTCCTCGATCAAAATTATAGAAGTGTATCAACAACCAAGAAACAGTTCTTCTCTTATTTTAAAATGTGAAGGAAAATTCAGTATTACCTATAGCAGTGAGGTTCCTGTAGGTCTCCCGCATCACATATTTGTAGAGACTCTTCTGGGAAGGATCCAGCAAAGCCCACTCTTCCCAAGAGAAGTGAATATGTACATCATCATAGGTCACTCCATTCTAAAATATCCCATACATGTGTAGAAAAAAAAGCATTATGCTGAAAAAATTATAAATTTACACTTCTTTGACAATATATTTATAAAATTCTGGTGCTCCCCACACTTATTCCATGACATAGAACTTCAAATGTAATCACTAAGTCATTTTAGAAGGAAACTGAACAAAAGGTTCACCTCTGTCCTTTTTGCACCCTTTGAATAGGATATATTCTTGAAAGAGAAATGCCTATTAACAGACATAGAGAGGCAAGCAAACAGGTCAACAATACTGAGAACACATCAGAGTAATTGAGTGAATGATTACAAAGCATAAAAAAGGTGGGCAAGCTGGGTGTCTTCACTCATGTTTTTAATTCCAGGACTCTGGAGGCAGAGGTGGATGAAAAAAAAATCAATCAAACAAAAAAAGGTAGAAAGAACTGAGAGGTTTTTATTAAAGTTCTTACAAAGAGGTATGCATTCACTCTAGTTCTATTTTATTCTTCCAGAAACCTGAAGTGCCTCAGTTTAAACTGTGACATTAAGATCTTACTAAAAGGGAGTGCAGTTACACATGAACAGGTGAAAATATTAATAATGTAAATGTTGGTCATTAATATACAACATAGGGAAGGACAGATAGTTCACCAGTTAAGATCTCTTACTGCTCTTACAGATAGGAGGTTCAATGGCCAGTACTTACATGGGGGTTAACAACTATCCATTACTCCAAATGCAGGGGTTTCTGAGGCCATTTTCTGACTATTGTGAAAACCAAGCACACATGTGGTGCATATCCATGCACACAGGTAAAATATTCATATTTGTTCATATGAATTCAAAATAAACACATAGGCAAGAAGAATGTCACACATCTGCAATCCAATGACTCAGAAGGCTCAGGCAGTATTAATGTCATGAGTATCATCAACATGGGAAAGGGAATACCCTCTGCCAAATTTCAAAATTCAAGATGTGGGTGGGTGGAACTCAGCACAACAGCATATGCTTGACATGTACAAAAACCTATATTTCTTTATACATATTTCAGGAATGCTGGCCCACCTTTAAAACCCAGCACTCCAGGATCCAGAATCAATTGGATCTCTGATTTGAGGCCAGCCTGGTCTACTGAGCTACTTTCAGGACAACCAGGGCTACACAGAGAAACCTTGTGTTAAAAACTAAAATTAGAATAAAAAAAAATCAGGCTAGCAAAATGGCTTACCACTGAATAGCAGTTGTTTAAACTGTATCTTATATGCATTAGTGATATCATGTATAACAGTGGTGAAGTCATGACAGCAGGACACAAGGACCAAGAAATGGGCTGAGGCCATAGACATGCAAATCCTATCCCCAATGAGAAATTTCATCCACAAAGACTCCTCCTACTAAAGGTTCCACAAAGATAGCTACCAAAGGGAAACAAGAATTCAAATCATCCTATCTAGGAGCTTTTCATTCAACTGGCTACATTCAGACCCAAGTCATTATAGGTTTAGGGTCATCCCGTGATAAAAATGTATTTACTATAACTTTAATGATTATCATAGTCTGCAATAGGCCATATATGTTTAAATGTCCAGTCTCTTCTGATATTCAAGACAATAGTTTGACAGTGATATCTTGTGCATTCAGAAAACAAGTTACAATGGCACGGAATACCCATTCCCATTCCAAAAGAGAATAATGGAGACATAGTAAAGGAAGACTGGACCAAGGCAAGACTAAAAGACAGCAGGGTAAACATCAAAGCTTTTAGCTCTGTCTCAGACACTTCTGTTTCAAAGGCCTTAGGTGACTCATTTTTTCCTGCAACTTATCATATATCTCTCCATTTGGCTACTTCTACTCCCTATATGCAGAAATCCATGGCAGATGTCTCATAGCTTAGATATATCAACATCTTGTGTCTCAAAATGCAACCCAGACTTCATTCTCACAGCTTCATGCAATGAACTCTCAACACTGGATCTCTGACTCTGCCAAACATAGATACGTGCAACAGTGCTGAACTGAAACCACAGACTAAGAACTCATAACCTGAAATTTTGACTCCTTTTTGTTTCTAGCACCAGCACAACATGAGTGATCCTGCCAAGTTCGGCTTCTTAATTAGGATGGACAATTCCTCACTTGGATCACAACTGCAACTGGTTCTGTATGAAGCTGCTTTCTGGGACTAGGAATCACTTTGACTAATCCTTCCATTAATTGATGGAGTATTACCCTTAGAGTACCTTCCTAGGCTTCCATTGTAGAGCACGGGCATTTTCTTTAATGGTGAAAATCTCCTTGAAAATTCCTGTCTCTGTTTCAGTACTTGATTGCCATCTGAAACCACATTTTCATTTTCATTTATTTCTGCCCAACTTGTTGATACTTTTCACTGTAGTCCTAAATGAGAGTCATCATTAAGAGTCATTCAACAGATTCAATATTCCATCTAAGAAATCAGCTCATTACATATTAATGTTAACTTACTCAATTTCTCAGGGCATAGGCAAAACAAGAAAGATTTCTGGTCAAAATATCACACAAATGACCTTTAACTTAATTTTTCACGGACTCTATTTCCAACAGAAATCCTATGACCTCAACTTCCACTGTCTGCAGTGCTCTCAACACTCCCATCTTCTGGGTTCTATAAGAAGAGTCAGTTAAGCTCTGTGTATGCTTTGTATACATTTTGCCAACTGAAGTCTGGATATCTTCCATTTTCCTCCAAAAGACAATATTCCCAGGTTCTGACCAGTAACAACATCACTTTTTTGTTCCATTTTTTTTTTTATTCTAACTTGCTTCTTTGTTGCTGTAATTAAATTCTTTAACCAGATAATGAAATTTTTTTTGGGGGGGCTGATTCTTATCAGATTACAGTTCATCACTTTGTGAGCTTAGGATAGAAACTCAAGCTAGCAACTGAAGGCAAAAACCATGGACAAACATTGTTTTCTGGCTGTCTCACTGGCTTGGTCACTGTCTCATATTCAACTAGCTCTTTTATCTACCTGAGGCCCACTTGCTGAGGAATATTCCTCAGTGGAAGAGCCTTCCCCCATCAATCATCAATCAACACACTCTCTGATAGACATAGTAGTTTCTGGCTAGTATGAATAAAGCTGCTATGAACATGGTTGTGCAAGTGTCCTTGTGGTATGATGGCAGAGCATCTTTTGGATATATGCCCAAGAGTGGTATAGCTGAGTCTTGATGTAGATAGATTCCCAATTATCTGAAGAACTGCCATACTGATTTCCATAGTGGCTATACAAGTTTGCACTCCAATCCAGAATTAAGGAGGTTCCCCTTGCTCCACATCCCTGCCAGCAAGAGCTGTCACTTCTGTCATTTCTTTTAGTCATTCTGACAGCTATAAGATAAAATCTCAAAGTAGTTTGGATTTCCATTTCCTTGATGACGAAGAATGTTGAATATTTCTTTAAGTGTTTATCAGCCATTTTAGATTTCTCTGTTGGAGTTCTGTTTAGATATATACCCAATTTTTATTGAATTATTTGATTTGTTAATGTCTTGTTTTATGAGTTATTATCTCAAGTGATGCAACAAACCACATAGACAGACATGATATGTACTCATTATAAGTGGATATTAGCTGTTAAGTAAAGAATAATCACAGCAAAATCCACAGATCCAGAGAGGCTAAGTAACAAGGAGGGCTGTAGGGGGCATGCACATATTTCCCTGTATCTTACTTAGGGTTTCAGAGCACCATGATCAAAAAGCAAGATGGTTAGGAAAGGGTTTATTTGAGTTACACTTCCAGATCACAATTCTTCATTGGAGGAAGTCTGGAAAGGAACTCAAGTAGGGCAGGAACCTGGAGCAGGAGATGATGTAGAATCCATGGAGAGGAGTTGCTCATTGGCTTGCTTTTGGCCACAGTATTTTGGTACAGTAATAAAATCCCTAATTAAGACAAATGAGTACCAGGGACTGGGGTATTGTTGTGATATGCCTGACCATGTTTTAGTTTGGAGGAATTTGGACTTTGGTACTTTGGATTAGGAAAGTAGTGGAATGTTTTAAGTGCTGCTTAATGGGCCATGCTAGTAAAAGCATGGAAGACAGTGGTGCTGAGTGTGATTTGAACCATTGATGCCTGGATCAAGAGATTTTAGATATGAAGAATTTTAGTATGTTGCCAAGAGATTTTTCTTGTGATATATTGGTGAAGAAAGTAGCTGCTTTTTGCCCTTGTCCAAAAAGTTTGCCTGAGGCTAAAATGAAGAGTTTTAGATTAATTCCATTGGCAGAGGAAATCTAAACAGCCTAGTATAGACTCTCTTGTATGATTACTAGTGCTAACTGTAATGAAGATATATAACACAAAGGAGCAAGCTGAGCAAGGAAAAATATTTGAGGAGAAAGGGAGCACCAGAAAGTGGAATGGAGCTAAATCCTGTGTTTAAGGAGATAAACAAGTTAAGAAACAGAATAAATGGAGTGATGACTTCAGGGCAAGATCCCACTCAGCTAGATTTCCAATCTGTGAAAAGGAATTAAAGAAAAGCTTAGAGCCAGGTGTGATGGTGCATACCTTTAACACCAGCACTCAGGAAGGCAGAGTCTTGGGGGATCTCTGAGTTTGAGGACAGCCTGGTCTACAGAGCAAGTTCAAGGACAACCAAGTTTAGGCAGTGGAGAAAAATAGAAAGAGGCTGAAGATGTAAGTAAACGAGGTGGCCATGTTCCAGCTCCAGCAAGGAGCAGAACTTGGTAGCTTTGGCCACATGGTTCTGAATTAAGGATAGAAGAAAGGGCCTATGAAACTTGCCCCTGAGACTAAGGAAATCCACTGAGGCCAGGTATTTGTCAGTGAAAACCATGAATGGAGGCCCAAAGTGGCCATTGCATGAGCTGTGAAATTGAAGTCTGGATTGCCTTGGATACCCCAATATGTTAGAGATGCTAGAGCCTTGGGATACCTGTCAAGGAGAGCTGCTAACAGATAATGGAACCAGTCCAAGAGAAATAAGTATGTTACAGTCATGA